TTACGACCGGTTGGAGTCGCGGCATTAAAAAGGTTGAGAACCACTGCTTTTTTGACTTAGCAGTTAGGGAAATCCAAATGTAGAGGTGGGGGCCAGGTAGAGGTTGGGAGCAGCAAACTGCCCCCTCCAAAGCCTGTGTGCCTCTTCTCTCTACATTATCTCTTCCCTTCACATCACTATGGCAATGTGGGAAAATACCCCAGGCTGGTACAATGACCTCACCTGCCTGATATCAGCCTGGTTACATCAACAGGATGTGGCAGCCAACTGCTCCCTGTTTTGGGCCTCTTGGCTTTCTATTCTTAATGATTGGCAAGGGGTTTCACCAATAGAAATACTGTTACTATGCTGATGCCATGTTAAACTTTTGCTGCTTGTAAAACTGTATAAAAAAATAAACGCTGCGAAAGCGGTCAGCCATATTTGCACCCTGCAATGACTGAGCACTGATTACTACACCAAATGGAAAGGTGTATTCATATGTATTCGCTTTTCTGACTGTAAAGAGCCTCCTAGGTTTACTGTTCCCAGTCATCTTGGCGCACTCTCTGTTCTGATAGGCTTTGCTTTTACAATGAGTTAAACAACACAAGCACAAAGGTTGCTACTGTAGCTCTACTGGCCCTCTTCTGGCCTCTGCATTCTTTCAGGGCTGTGATAATGCTGCGGACATATTTGTTCTATTAAAAATATGCCAAGTGATCACTCTCATCTTGATCTTTGGGGACACTCTCGTGTTTTCTTTCCCTCTTTATCTTTCAATAAAGAAAGGCACTTTTACTTGGCAGCAATCAGCATCAGGCTTTACAAGATAATCTCTGGCAGACCTCCCACTGCCATGAACATCAAAGGCAAAGAGAGATGAGCTTCTTTGAAGCCCCTAAAAGATTAGATGTTTATGTCTGTCACGTGCAGGAAAATAGTACTGCAAAAGAGTAAACAGGCTAACTTGTACGAAGGATGGGCATTTGAAGCACCTAATAAGGTGGAGGTGAACCAAGGGTTTTATGAAGGATTCTGATGAACTGGCTGATGTTTGAATGGCTTTGATGTATATGCAGGTAGACCTCACTTACTGAACTGCCTCATGCAGCAATCCTTTGAAGTTACAATGATGCTAAAATATAACTGCAACCAAAATGCACTTTTATGACCCTCACAACATCACCTCAACCTCACGTTTGTCATTACAGTCTTGTCCTATGCCTGACCCATTTTTTTTCTCCTCCCACCCCAAGAGAGCAGAAAGATTGCCCAAACAAGTGATCTCTTCCTGAGTTGCTTTGCTCTGCAGCCAGCTTCAGCTGCAGCCAATTTCAGCTGAAATTGACAGGACCCTAATCAGTTTCACGCTAAAGGCTTTTTTTTTTGCCTCCTAAGCAGCTCATTTAGCAAACAGCTAGGGCATTCCTTTCCATATGTACTCCCCATTGTACGTCTGCTTACTCTCTGTAATCCCTTCCTCTCCAATGAATGCAAATACATTCATAAAGCATAAACCCTTTCTTGCTAATTATCCCACCACCAGGATGAGCATGCCAAAGGACAGGGGAGTGGGAAAAACGGAAAGCTGAAGTAAGACTATAAGCACAGTCTCGATCATGTGATTTTTCCACTTGCCAACTGCATCACTTAGCAGTTGCCAGTTCAATTGTGGTCACTAAACAAGAACCACATGTAATATTTAACAATTTAGCTCACTAAGGGACTCAAATTTAGTTATTTCTGGGTAGAACCAGAACTTTCCTGTTCTTCAGGTATTTTTAGCTTGCTGACTAGTATGTTCTCTTCAGAGAGGCAACATCATTGCCCCAAATGTGAAAATCAAGAGAGTATATTGTATGACTACAATGAAAGAGACCTTTTTTTTTTTTTTTTTTTTTTTGCAAAAGTGCCCTGTTTGTGCAATACCCTCTGTTTGGAAATGACCAGCTATATACTTCGTATTGACACTAGTTATAAATCAGTTTCTCAGATATACTTAGGTAATTGATTTAATAAATTGCTCACATCAATAATCTTTTTTAATAATTAAAAAAGATTTAATAATCTTTTCAGCTTTCTGACTGTTGAAAGTTATTATTTTATCATAATATATTATTGACTTAAAAAATTATATTTCTGTACATAATAAAGACTGTTTAAATAAAAAAAACCTAAGAGAATAAATAACAAAAGTCCAAATTAGGCATGACCATAAATAGTCTTGCATTTATTGCATACATTAATAAAATCCTTTGAAGCAAATGTGGAAAAGGATAATTTTGCCTGCTTTCTTGCTGTCCTGAACAAAATCCTTGTCCTGAACTGCTCTTTGTATTAATAAAAATATTCACTATTGGCACTTAAAGGGAGAATTTTTTCATAATGTAAAAGGATTTTCATGAGAACCATAATAAGGAGGGAAAGGTTATCTCCCTTTCTGCACTTGTTGAAATGCCAAAAAATAATCAGCTTTCCCAAAGGCAGCGTTTTTTTTTAAAGTGTGCATTACACTCTGAGATGCATTTAACACATCTGATCTTCAGAGATTTTTGGCAGCTGCTGCTTACTGCCAGGTTAGCAGGTAACCCTCCCCCCCTTATCTATGGTTTAATCATTGCTACTATGACTACATCTGTTTGAGCCAGCTTACCTTGGAATCCAATTGTTCTTCAAAGTTTAGCTTCTGCATTTCTACATGGCTACTGCCCATGCTATCAAGTCCTATATACCCACATATCTGGGAACTGGCCCCTGTTACATCTTTGCCTAGGCAAAAGAAGGGAGACAATTTTCATTTTCATTTTATTTTTTTCATTTTATTAAATTTATACCCCGCCCTTCTCCCGGAGGACTCAGGGCGGCTTACAGCCAGTTTAAAATGTCACACCAACATACTATGTGTCTAGAAAAAAGAAGGAATGAAAGTAAAAAAAACCCTGCGTATCTTTTTTTTATATATGCTGTAATATCTGCTAGCTATTTATGTTACAGTATTACATTTCTACTCCATCTGTCTTCCAATATGGAACAAAACCTGCACCAAATACAAAACAGCCCTATTTAGCTTTAGTAGCTTGTATGACTGTGGAGATTCTCAGTCATCCAGGTCATAGTTGTCTGAAAGGTGTGGGGTTTTTTTTCTTCAAAAGGCAACTGAACTGTTTGTTTGTTTTTTTGAGGAGGAGGAAGAAGGAGAAAATATTTATCATCCAAGAAGCTTCACCAGTTCAGATGGTGGTGGTTGGGGGATGGAAGGATAGGTACAGAGCAGACATGTCAAATTCGCGACGTCACATGATGTCACGCGACGTATCGGAGCTTTTTTGCCATTGCCGGCAATGGGGTGGGCGCGGCTCCGGTATGATGAAACCAGCCTGCGGGCCGGCAGTTTGACACCCCTGGTACAGAGAATTGAGACTGGATAGTGGGGGATGAAAGGATAGGTTCTGATCGGATGGTGGGGAATGGAAGGATTGTATTTCTTTGCAGTCATCTGGTTGTTAGCATTCTCTGAGAGCTGTTGAGGCCACTTGGGGTTTTATCTTTGCCCTCTGGGTTACCTGAATCAGGGTGCAATTGGCTGTGGAATCTTCTTGAAATTGCTGTAAACTGGAGATAGGGGGTGTCTTATTCCTACCCTTCTGTTGAGGGAGGGGTGTTCAGTTCTAACATAGATGGATTCTTTTACCTCTCTTTCAAACCAATGGTCCTCTCTATCCAAAATGTGGACTGTAGTAGGTTGCTTCTAAGGATGAACAATTGTTTCTGATTTGCCACATATTTGTTAATTTTATTCAATTAAGTCATATCTTAGTTGCATACCGTATGTAGATTTCCAAGAGAGCATACAATATAAAATGAATACAAATACAATACAGCTATATGCACAATTTCTTTCAAACACATTTTTATCTGATTTCTGAATCAGACTTTAAAGGTATTTTCTAAAAAAAAAAACCCTACAAAAATTATATCCATGAACATATGGTGTTATATTCCAAAACACACATTATTTTTAGTAAAATATCTACTATTATGTATGCAACTATTTTTTAATATATTAAGGGTTCTTTTCTTCTGTATTTTGCATATTCTTTTAAAAATATTCTTTATTAAATTTCTGCAAAAGACAAAATATAAAAAAGAAGAAAAAGGATTAAGAAGGAAAAATAATGAAGGGGATGGTGCAAAGGAACAAGGAAAGAAAAAAAGAAATGGAAAAAGAATAACTTCCAACTTTCTTTGATACAAATATAAAATATATTAACCTTTTGATCTAAAATTCAATGTTATACAGTATTTCTATCATGATAAACAAGTCTAATTGTCAAATCCCAAAATTAATATTTTATTTTGCTTTCTAGCAAAAAGTCCAAAAGTGGTTTCCACCTAGAAACAAAGCTAGACAAAATCTTTCTCTATTTTATATTTTTATGCCTTATATTTTTATTTCTTGTTTTTGCTTTATTAGAGAAATGCATTGCAGAATTCAAAATACTATGGAAAATTGGCTTCTGTGAATTCATTTTGAAACTTCATATTAAGTCAGTTTGTACTTAAACATGAATCAAAAGAAGCACTATTCCATCCATCATGTAAGCCCATCCCTGGGAATTAACCATGCATGTTAACAGCATGAGCTTTGCATGTTTATGCAAGTCAAACTGATATTCTTCCCCCATCAAGTAGATTTGCAAGATCCTTTTCCTTATAAAAGAATTAAGTGCTTTTTCTTGAACTGCAATTAGCTTCTACTGATGAAAGAGGATAAGAAATAGCATTGCTGGTAAAGATTTTAAAACTCTCCACGTAGTACAGGCTCCTGTTTTCCACATGAGCTAAACTTAAAGGAACAACTGGATGCCTACCAACAGGGCATAAAACACCATGTAACTCTGCTCCATAGCAAACTGCCTCTGAATGGGCTATTCTGTATATGAGCATGTAGTTCTTATTCACTCACTCCCTTCCACATGCTTGTTGATATGCTCAGAGAATTCTTAAAGTAATTTACTTGTTTTTCTAGATACTGTGTCATCTCTGCCCAATTCAAATGAGGGTGTGGAATCTTCTATTTCTCAGCATGGCCTGGCAATGCAATCAGTTTCCTAAAGCTGAGTTTGGCA